GTACGAATCCCGTGCGATGCACGGGTAAGAAATATTTATTAGTATTTATAAAAAAAAATATGCATTAAATAATATGTTATAAATTAAGAATATTGAATCAATATGTAATACAGTTTACCTATATTAATTTTTAAAAATATTATACGAAATTTGGATTGTACAAAATTACATAAAATATGTATATTTAAAATTAGTACACAACCCATACATGCACGTAACTATTAATAAATTATATTATATTCAATTCAAAATAATATTATTTTAAAAAATTTTATTCAAAATTTCGATTTGACTACAATGTAATTCGGTAAAATAAATGTTTTGGTAAAATTTTATCATATATTTAAAAATCTATATGAATAATATGTGTAATTATAAAACTTATATTGAACTAAAATGAATTAATTTTCGTATGACCTGTCCAAATCAAAAAAATTAAGTAGTTGAATAATTTATTAAACTATAAATAATTGAATAATTCATTTGCATCCAAGTTAATATTAGCATAAGTTATGAAGAACTACTTATTTGATCTTTAAATTTAGAACCTAAATTTGGACTACACAAATAAACTTTTTTATATATTTCATGTATAATATATATATATATATATATATATATTATATATCTCGCATTTTTTAGATTTGTTGTCAGTTACCTTATCGTTCAAAATTATCAATTAATCTGTAGAATTAAATTACTAATTTTAAATTTTATTAACCAATGTTTGTTCAAAGATCATTATAATTTTCTAAAGGAATATATCAATTTGTCTGTTGACATCCGGATCGGTCGGGTGAGGATGAAACGGGTCGACCCCACGAGCAGCATGGGACAGAACTCTTGGAAAGTGTCGGGCCGATCAGGGGCACAGGAGCCGACCTGAGTCGAAGAATTATATGCAGTACGGGTCGAAGGGAATATTTCCCGAGTTCGGCACCCGGACATGTTGGGAGCCGAGCCGGTCTCGTCTCAGTGCAGAACTGAAGAAAGGCTCACCCAGGTCGTGTGGACCTTTATAGCGAAGGAGCCGATCAGAGTAAGCTAGAGCCGCCCTGCCCAAGGATAGTGCCGATTCGGTCATTATTAAAATATTCGCCACTTGGGAGGTCATCATTCGCTGATGGGACAGACCGTCGCAGTCATTCAATCAGCATTAAATGTCACCCATGCTTGCATTTAATGCCTGGCAAGTAATGATTGGGGAAACCTCAAATCGCATTAATGAACTGTCAGGAAGGCGCCGAACTGCTCTGCAAATCTACTGTATGACAAGACCGGTGAACAGTACCCCATTTAAGAGTACTATAAATAGCAGTCCACCTCATTTATTTTGGGGTTGTTGAATCCTCAACTAACTCAAGCTTTCCTCCACTTTCTCTCTCTAAGATGTAAGAAACCCCTTGTAAGGAATTGTAAGTATATCAAAAGGGCCGACCTCATACGAGAGGCCGACCTCGTGATCATTAAATAAAATCGTAATTAAACTATATCTTTCCTTTATTTCCAGTCTTGCACTCAACATACTTTTAATCTCGACCGTTGACCGAAAACGCTCGTCAACATTGTCGAATTGTCATCAATATATTATGGCAAATTATTATGCGAATATGCTAAATTTTAAGAATCACATCACCTTGATTTTATAAGAATGTGGTTCATCCACATTTTATTTTACATTCTAATCAACCAATTGAAATATGAGAGACAAATATTATTAACATTTTCAAAATATCTAATTATTAATTTTTTTTTTTGTTTCTTATTTATATTTTATTTTTGTTTCTGCTAATTGACAATATTATGTTTGATCACATTGTGCACGCAGATAATCTTTTATATTTAAAGTTGTGAACTTAAAAAATATCTTATGTGGTTCACAATCCATATAAACAATTGACATTTGTCAAAATTTATGTGATTCAACATTTATGCATTGTAAATGCTCTTATTTTGTTTTAAATAATTTCATATATACTTCTATCCATTCCACATAAAATTCAAACTATTTAAATTCGAACATTTCGTACCAAAAATAAACCACCCACTTTATACCACAAAATTGAACATTTATTATTAACAACACATTTTTTACGAAAAGATAAAAATGGCTATCAGATACTTAAAATAAAATCATCAACTTTATACCAAAATTGGATTTATTAATGTTGTCAGCTTTATACCATAAATTAATTAAGTAATTTCTAAAAGTCATTTCTACATTTAGTCCAAAATATTTTTTAGCGGCACATAAATGTTATTTATATTTTTGTATTTGATTATCTTGTCTACGAAGAAAAAGATAATCTTGCAACTCTACTATGCCAACAAAAAGATGTATGAAAAATAACATAAGTATTAATTTATCATGTTTTACTCAATACAGGAAATATAATATAGATATAAAGATTAACGGTTAATTCTCTATAATTGCTCAATCAAGTCCATATATTTAAACTAAAGATTTCGAAAGTTTCTATAATACCCCCATATTTGTTTCCATAAAACTAAATCATCCTAAATTTAAATTCAACTAATAAAGGTAATAACAACAGATATTTGACTAAAAAGAATATGTACATTAATTACATTAATTTTTATTAATTTACTATTTTTAGACAATAATTAATGAAATTGGCGGGAAAGTGTTTCTAAAAGTGAATTATGTTAATCCTCATTATTAATAGATGACTCATATCTTAATTTCCCATCTAATTAATTAATAGGTTACTATAGAGTTGTCACATTATATGGATATATATATTCTATGGAAGAGTTTATTCTAACGGTCATGGCAATATAGTCATCAAGTGAGTGTGTATATCTATATCTATAATATAATTACTAGCTAATGCATTTAATAAAATATTTAATAAAACCTATTTTCATTTCTATCCAAAAGGAGTTACATTTTCATAATTAATTACTCATTAATTGCTTAAACCGTTACACATTAATGTATACATTTTTATTATTTATTTTTTGGATCAGTTACTAAATTAATTCTAAATTTGGTAGTAAAATATTCAGGTGTGTAACGGCTAATGTTGGAACTTAAAGTTGATTGCACATTCACAGTTGCAACCGCTATATTTTTGGTTGCATTGTTGGAAGAAAAATATGATTGACACATATTTTTTTTTTTTTTTTTTTCTAAAAATCAGAAACACTAATAATTTTTTTATTTATATTAATTTTCTTAATATATGCTACAAACATATAAATTATTTTATTCATTTTACTAATGTAAACGTTGCATGGTTAAATAAAATTTAAATCTCAATTAATTTTGAATGATAAAAATAACATAAGGAAAAGTAATAATTTTTATATGATAAAAGTACATGTCTAATTAATAAATACAAACAAAAACGTTTTTTTATATCTGTGCAAATGCACAGGATTAAACTAGTATATTGATAAAATACACAATAACTGAATTGTAGTCATCAATTTAAATTAAATACATCAAGAAATCCAAAAGAGAAGAAAAAGGGTTAACTAACTTAATATGGGAGAAATTAAGGGTGCACATACTAAATATGTGTTTAATTGAATGTTGAAAATGTAAGTCTCACTACAAAAAAATTGTTATATACCAACAGAAAATTCCAATGGAAAACTCATTCCAACGGAATATTTCTGTTGAAATCCATTGAAAAATTTCAACGAAAATAATAGTATTGAAATATCCGTTGAAATTGCCATTGGAATCATTCTATTATAATAAATTTTCGCTGAATTTCATCATTTTCTTGTAGTGTCAGATGTGACCTATGTACAATAGTAGACTTCTTGAACATTAAAGATCTGTCACTATATATAGATAGGGATGTCCCCGGGCCGAACCGGCCCCGGATCGGCTCGTGAACCGGCCGCATAAGAGCTGGTTTGTTGAACCGGACTCTTAGGGTCGCAGTTCGATCCCGGTTCAAATTTTTTTTTTTATTTTTGGTCCCGCCGGTCCGCGAATCGGACGACAGGCCACAAATTAATTTTTTTTTTAAGAAAAAGGGCCGTCCCGACCCGTGAACTGACGGTTTGGGCCGGTTCATACATATAAATGGACGGGCCGGTCACGGGCCAAGAGATTGAGGCCTGTGGACCCGAAGAGCCGGGCCGGACTGGACCGCGGCCCGGAAATTGGCCACGTCTATATATAGAGCCTTACATGTTAATGCAACATCATGAGAATACTTTGTAATTATGAGACTATATTTCCAATTTTTAATTATTGTACATAGAAGAAATCTATTTATAAGAGGAATTATGTGTGTGGAATTTTGTTTCCGGCCAGCTGAGTTTATGATGAGAGGGGGTGTTTCCGAATTGAGCCAAACCGAGCCATGCAACTCATGCTCGAGTTCGCGCGTGCTAGTTTAATAAATGAGAAGCTCAGCTTCAACTTGTTTAAATTCGTTAAAGTTCAGCTTAACTCGTTTAATAAACTTAAAACGTTGAACGAGTTGTTCCCGAACAAGTCATCTTGAAAATAAAAATAGTAAAAAAAAAAAAAAAAATTAAAGAGGAATTGTTAATCGCAAACAAGCTCGGGTGGATTCATTGAGCTTTCACGAGCCAAACCATGCGAACATCGCGTTTTCGGTTTAGTTTTTGTTTTATTTTACATTATAATTATCACAATGAATTAGATAAAAATACTTCTAAATATTACATTTATCCCCCAGCGCGGCAAACATAATAATATATTTATTGGATTATGTTGAAATGACTAAAGATAGAAATTTTTCATTTTAAAACAACAGCATGAATATACATGTCCCATCTACCACATTATTTAGGTTTAATTACATAAAAACCCTTGAAAATAAGTTGATATGACATTTTCGCCCCCCAATAGATTTTGGCATGCATGACTGGGAAATTAATTAAGTTACCATAGCAAGTAGCATCACAAGTAGTCAGCCTCATGCTATGGAGAGTGACTGCATTTGATGTTACCGCACGTGAGACTCCTCCAAACATGATCGGCCAGAAAATCAAAAACCGGCACCAAAGGCCGCCGGAGCCCAATAATCAGCTCCGATTTCGTTTCCGACGTGTTGAGTGCAGTCGATCGGGACCAAGCAAAGCCCCCTACTTCTCAAATCCTTCACTCCTTGTGAATCCTGCCATTTTATTATTATTATTATTATTATTATTATTATTATTACATAAAATATTTATCATAACTAAAAAAGTGGCACAAATTACAATTTGTGCCCTGTAATGTATGGCATGTGGTAATTATGGACACCTTCTTCTGTATTTGTATTTTAGTAAATTAGGACAGTATAACTTACAAAATCCGGACTTAACGCATAATTGACGTACAATTTGGGAAATGTTACGGTCGCGTTACGGAATCATTCCGTCGGGTTTATAACCGTTAGATCATCAAGTAACTTTAACAGTTACAAATTCCGACGGAATGGTCTGTTAACAGGATCGTAGAATTTTCCCGTAGAATTTATTGAATTTTTCCAGTAAAATCTGGACAACAATTTGTAATTTACGGGTAGTATGTCAATTGTGCATGAAGTGCGAGAATTTTCAAGTTATTATTGTCTTAGGTTTGCCAAAATAAAAAGACTGGTGTCCATAATTGGCACATGCCATAAATAATTGCTCGGTTTTTACCTGATTTGAAGCTCCTCGACCTTGAAGGTCAACATCATTTAATAACTGTAGAAATAACCAAAGGAGTAGATAATTAATTTAAAGTAAATTTTATTAAAAAAAAAAAAATTGATTTAGGAGGAATAATCATCAAGTTGAACATCTTTAATTAACATAAAAAAAGTCTTAATTTTTAGGAAGTTAAGGATCCAATAAAGCACATATTATTATAGTAGTAAGTATGAATTAACAGCATGCATATATGCATGGGTACTTTACTGTATTACTATTATTTACAGAATGTTGTTGGTGATTTCTGCTGCTTTCTGCTGCAATATTCCGCCGCATGTAAGGAGAGCTCAGTGCCTGTGACCAAACAGTACCCAAATAAAAATAAAATTTGCAAAAGATCGATGATATTAGAAATAATTAATATAATAATGTTAATTACTACTGCTACAATTTAAGTCCATAATTAATACTACTACATCATATTTTCCCATACAACACACAGAAAAGCATCAAGGAATATACATACATAATTCACTTGCATCTGTCTGATTTTTAATTATTATTATTTGTTTTTTTTTTATTTTCTTTATATATTTATAGGTTAATTTGAGAGAGGCAGGGCAGCATGCATTAATTAATTAATTAAAAAATTACCTCAATTTGGCCCTGAAGGAATCTAATGTAGCCAATGGCTTCTGACAAGACTGAAGCTGTGTCAGTCTGCAAAAGAGAAGCAATATATATATATATATATATATATATATATATCACGCCGGCCCTCAAACTCCATTCTATTTTCTCATATTATTAATAATCTTTTCAATGTAAAAATAATAATATAATACTATTCAATAAGAAATAATAAATCTCATATCCAATGGTAAAAGCAAATAAAAGGAGGAAAGCAGCTGGTTTCTTTTATTTTCCTTTTTCTAATTACTTAAGGAATTTCTTTCATGATTTTTATTACTTTGCAATTAGTTAGTTATTCCAATGTGGGCTAAATTTAATTTTTTGTATACTATATATATGTTAGTATTTTCTAAAAATGATACATCATATTAGAAGTTTTCAAGAATGATCCACTAACTTGTTATTTTAATCAATACTCGTACAAAAGTCAACATAGTGTACTAAATATGACCACTAAAAATGATCACTTTTAGTACACTATGTTGGTTATTGTACGAATTTTGATTAAATTTGTAGATTAATGGACCATTCTTGATGACACTCTAGGTGATAGACATTTTTCGAAAAATGACCAATATAGTGGACCATTATTGAAATTTTGCCTTCCAATGTGCTGTAAATTAAATACTTTTTATAAATGCTTCTTCATAGTATTTTTCATATGTAATTCTAATTAAAAAAAAAAAAAAAACCAACAGATAATATATATATAGTGTTAATTAATGATCTTGTATACTATTAATACCTTCCCAAATGGAGAAACGAGTTGGTGAAGAGTTGATATTCTATCCCCCAACTTCTCTTTTCTCACCTGATGCATCAACATTAATACTCACACATAAATGTTGTATAAATTTAAAAATTCAATATAAATGTGATATTATAACTAAATAAATATCGACTAAGCCCATATATGCATATATACATGTCTAATTAATAATTATTATATAAATAGAATCTTAAAAAATTGAATTAAAAATGAAATAAAAAGATAAAAACAGATGATAAAAAAGGGAAAAATCACAAAGATTCCTGACCTTCAAAGCTGGTTGGACTGAGGACTGTGTAATCCTAGCTTTCTTAGATGCAGCCCCACCATCGCCCGTGCTATTGCACTTTTAAACAAAAGGGATTATAAATTTCAAATTATTAAAAACCCTAATCATTTAAAACGTACCATTAATGAACCAAATCTTGATAATTCAAAATCATGGCTATAGCTATAACCAAGCACATTTCACCAAGTTTTGTATCGTTAGATCAATAAAAAAAATTGGAGATTTAGTCTTATAACTGATACATAACTGAGAAATAGTTCAGTGATCGCGTTGACATTACAAAACATCATGCAACTGCAAAAAAACCTGAATTTTGTTCCTTCCACAGGCAAAAGCTGGTCCCTGTAACCGATTGCTGATGTGGATATTATAATTCATTATTTTTTTCGTACACGTGGCAACCGACTAGCATATCCAACTCAGAAGCCGATCAATTTTTGCAGGTGGAAAGACCAAAAGTCAGGTTTTTCTGAAGTTACAGAGGGTTTTGTAAATTCAACGCAATCAACAGACTATTTCTCAATTTGACGTCAGTTACATGACTAAATATTCAATTTTTTCGATTAATAAACATATGTGAGAGTATGTGTATGTGTGTGTTGATCCAATGGTGATAAGTCTGCTGGTGATAGAATTGAATCTACTTTTATGCTCTCACATCATTTCTATGGTCAATTATTATCCTTTCTAATATCATGTCCACTAAGAAAAAAAATAAAAAAAAAATCATGTGGTTTATATTTCTTATTTATGATTTCTTGTAATTCCCTTTCGAACAACAAGTACATAATTACTTTACCTCGGACGAACGATCTTGATTGAGGATTTGATTTTTCGACTTTGCTCCGCCCGAGAAGTTCAAAATATTGCCGCTCAAGGTCGTGACACAAGAAGTCGGTGAAGAAACCAGCCCGACTACTTGATGAGATGAATTAGGCCAAGAATTAAAGGAAAGTGATCTATTAGCATCAAACCCGTCTTCTAAACCACCGAAAAATAACCGGCAATTATTGGGTCGAGAGACCTCTTGCTTGACGTCAACAAGCGGACTAACGAGCTGAGTAGCGAAAGACGACGGGTCGTTGTTTAGATTCAACATCACTTGGTCCTCCCAATTTTCCAGCTTCTTTTGTTGTTGGAAAACATTGGCGCCAAATCTTTCCTCTTCACTATTAGCCAAACCACCCCTGATGAACCACAATATTATGTTATTAGACCCAAAATAGAATTATTAGCTCAAACTCTACCTATGTTACTAAGGCATGTGTGAAATTGAAAACCTAAAATATCAAGTATATTTTTTTTTTAAAATAAATTTAACTAATAGTTAACTAGAGAGAGAGAGAGAGAGAGAGAGAGAGAGAGAGAGAGAGAGAGAGAGAGAGAGAGAGAGAGAGAGATTTTACAGCAGTAGTTGGCTCCAAGACCTAACCGGAAAATCTGGGCCGTTGGAATGAAGACGATGATCGGGAGGAGAAGGGTTAGACGAAGAAAGTTGATCGGAATTCGAGACATAAGGAAATTGAGAAGAAACTTGTTGTTGTTGATGATGATGATGATGAGATTGTGAATGCATGGTGTTGTTCATCATGCCCCACCAATTAGGGTTTCCAGCCATCATTTGATGCTAGCTCAAAAATT